CACTATAAAAAATGTATAGTGCATGACATAGCTGCTACAAGTACATTTTCCTTCAAATTGAATATTTGTTTGTTTGTTTGTTTGTTTGTTTGTTTGTTAGTTAGTTTTTGTTTGTTTTGTTTGTTTGTTGAAAATTTGTAACTTGACGTGAAGGCAAGCAACTTTAAGTCATTTTTACTTTTTATCTAACTTTTTTCTATCAAAGTTCCGAACCACCAGTTAGACATAAATAAATCATTTTGAGTTGTTTACAAAAGCGGGTATGACACGGATCACGTATTGTGTAATAAAATCGTTTAATTGCTATCATTTTCATTTTATATTCAATTTTATATACGCGTATGATGATTTACTATTAAACAAGATAACCGGGTAAAAAATTAATAATGGCTTAAATTGTGATAAATGGACTATCTATATGGTGTATAATCAGGGACATAAATCAAATTATGATGCCCCAAAGCCTTCGCTATTTTACATAAAATGGTAATAACCGATGTTCGTACTTTTATGACAAAAAACGGGTGACTCGAAATATTAACTGAATTATGGTATTAAAGTGTGACATTTTGACTGGCGCAGTCAATATTTGTAGGCAAATTGTCCTTTACAGGAATCAGATTTGAATAAACTGATAGTGTATTCCTTATTCGTCCTCAACAATTTTAGAAAATATATTGCGAGTTAAATAACCTATCCCGGAAGCAAGAAGAACACCATATGCTTTAACGATTTGATGAGCCCTTCATCAAGAAGAAAGAAAAAACACATTCTCGTGACTTCTGTTAATTTTGTACATGTACGTATCCAAATTTAGCAATTAAAGCAAATGGTAGTGACCGATTCCTGGACATTTTCTTTCGTACAGTGGAGAGAGAGTGTGTGTGTGTGGTTGTTTTCCCTTGCTTCAGCACCGCCCAAGTCACTGGGAAGATTATTTTCAGGAATAATTACACTTGTGACATTTTGATGACTGTGTACGTAAATCAAAAAAGTGAATAGTTGAGCCGCAGCTTTATTACTTTTTGAACAGCCCGTTCTTTCTAAAGATGAGTATGTATACGAATTCAACATAAAACATAAGAAGTTAATGAGAAGTTGAAATGCACAACTATTCACAATACACGTGATGAGATATATGTTTAATATAAGATATGGCTGTCTTAACGAAAAAAATCACCATATTTATAACCCGTTACTGGCGCACTGAAGTCTATTTTTTGTGCATTTTGGACACGATTTGCGTTATTTAAGTAAATTTAGGTGCCTTAAAGTAGTATAATATGTTGCATTATTTGTGAACAACATTTTCTAAACTTGCATCTTAAATAGCATATGTCTTGGGGCGTTCATTTTTTTCTGTAAAAAGGGGGGATCAATATTTATCTCCCTTTCTGTAGTTTATTACCATTGCATGAGATCCACAATCGTCATTACAAACCGTTCTGTTTGTTTTCTATCAATTAAAATTGATATCGAACGATCAATTATCTATTCAGATGGCTGATAAAGCCTTCGTTATGACAGGGCTTCTTTTTAATTTGTATTTTATTACGGTAATTTACATTGGAGAACATTTATCTCAGATTTGCTACTTTAGCCAAAAGGCGATTTATGATGATGACATGAAAAATCGTCACCCCCAAGATGTTTATCTTTTTATGAAGACCTAAAAACGACCATACCCTTTCTGTATCTTAAAATCAAAATTTCTTTCTATAAAATTGATATACATGTATATGTATATATAGTATCGGATATTAAATCAAATCAATGTATAAATTTTCCAGTCAGACTTAAACGCGCACGTAATTTTCGTGTTCACTGACGAGCCAGGCCTGCTAGGGAGACATTGCAAGGTATTGCACTCACACTATGTTATATAATGATAATCGACATAGTTTGTCTTCTTCCGTACGAAAATTTTTATTTGAATAAATGATGTCATATTTCGGCATTCCTGATAAGATAGACGATTATTTTCCTTCAAAAGACACAGAAAGTGGCGTTATATACTGAACTATATCAGTACTTTATTATTTTGATGTGTTTCTATTCACTGATATGCATCAAAAATGGTATATAGTTGTTTCTACAACAACAAATCTCAGTAGAGCATGGCTACAATATCATTTGGCAAATTTATATTCCTATCTATGGATACATAACTTTGCACGTGTCATCTTTTTCTGATTCTAAACTCGTTCGAATGACAGCTATAAGGTTTTTTTCCCTTTCTATAGATTTATGTTAAGATTTATTAACGAGAAAAAAAAACAACAACACCGCCATGCTCTATTCTTGTCTTTTGATTAAAACAGACACTGTCATACCTTTCATACCACTGATTAGATTCATTCTCCGTTTTTAGAATATGACAGGAAAACAATATTTGTCAATCTCATCATACATATTTCAGACTAATGTTTCAATTAATGAATCGCTAAAAATGAAAGCTAGATCTACCTGTTTGAAAGGTGTAATGAAAAAATATAATTATGACATTTGGTTAATACAATGCCATAGATGGAGATTGTCTAAAGATATGAATCATTAAAATGTCAAGAAATAATCCAAAATGAACACAATCGCCAGATCGTTTCATTCCGTTCTTGCTTTTTTAAACCAGTCATAGCACGGACACACGAACATAATGTGCAGATTAAATTAACGTTTATTTAAGGTATAACATGCATATATCGTTTAATTCGTGATTTATTTTCAATTGGAAAGCGCTTATTTGACAAGACCTTTATCTGTTCATCAAGTTTCTTAAGACCCCTTTTTTACTTGCTTTTTAAAAGATACGGAAGGTAGCGAAATACGTCGAATGTTTACGACTTTTTGATGGATGTGTTACCTTAATCTTAATCATATAAATTTTATTACCATATTGTAAACTGCTCTTATCAAATCATATTGTAACGAAATAATCGCCTGATGCATGATCGACACCAACTGTTTAATGTATTTTACAAATGTTTTACAATATTGTTCCTTGGGCTTATCAGTTACATGCTTGGTTATATCACGTAAAGAATGTATTTATTCAAATTACAGAACACATAGACTCAATTATCAAAAATACTTAAATGGCTTATTACATATTAAACGGTTGTTAAAATTTTCAAACATAAAATATTTCATAAATATGCGAACGTTAAATGCGTTTTTTTAAAAAAGAAATAGCGCACAAAACACTGCATTGTCATCAGTTTTATTGTTATACATATTTAAAGCTTTTAATGTAGGGGTAGGGGTGTACGATACAGTCAGAATTTAAGAGTATATAAAGGTCAACACCCGTTAATGTGTAGAGTAGAGCGCTGAACTGTTAATCGGACCTAAGTTCGATTCCCGCACGGTGCAGGTCACTTTCGTTGTAATTAGTTTATGAAATCCTTTCTACGGTCATTCGCACAATACCTCAGCTATGGCATGATGTACAAAAGTTAACCGTTCCTTGCGAAAGTGAAGGCAACTAGTACTGGTAAACTGGTAAATTCAATATAGTTTACTGCTCTGATCCGGGATGAAAACTACCACTACAATCACCACCAATGTATAGGGGTATAGAAAAACATTGTAGTTCAATAATCAAATCATATATATTTCAAAATCTGACAAATAAAATCTTTATCTCACGCCAGTGTTAACTATATTTGTTTACAGAATGTCATACAAATTACATTTTTGTAATGATAATCACTGTAAGTAGCGATTTTGAGCGAATCTGTGCAAACTGTCGAGATATGGATAGCACATATAAAACATGTCATATTATCTAAAATGTCTGTTGTTCTTATTATAATTTTGAAATATCAATTTATGTTTCGTGTTTATTAGACTCAGTACGGTTATTACGAAATTCGAGTTGCCAAAGCAAACTGTCTGCCTCATTTTAAGACCTGCCACTGTTATATAACATGAGGTGAATTTTTTGTCATCAATAAAATACTTACATTCTATGTGTTTTTGCTTTAATCGTTTTACAATCGAAACTGTATTTGCATATGTTGATCATCATAAACTATTTTAAAGATATCTTTTAAACATCGATTTTCTTGGGGGTGTTTTTGTTTGTTTTGAAAACGAAACTGTTATAATTGTTTTATCTTATGAAACCCTAATGCTGACACCATAATGCTGACACCATAATGATTTTCTACGGTCATGTATTGTGTTAGAGTATTTGCTTTTTCGACAATGCGAAAACAAAAAAAAAGTCAAACTATTTCGTCTTTTTTTTACATTTTAATTTTTCCCCGCATTGTTTCATTTCGGTATTGTTGCACCTTTGCAATGTTGCATTTTGTTTTGCGGCATTGTCGCATTTTTCGGACGAAACCCGTCTATTATCAGTTTGACTTCCTGTAAAATTAACAGGGAAGGACTGAATATAAGAAGAATTTTCATTGCATATTAAACAGACTTACTTCGGACGAGTATCTCTTGATTGAGTTCCGGTTATACAAATGTGATAATTCTGCACCGTCATAAACGTAACGTGAAGAAGCTTACACACAACAATGCGAGAATGACAGGCGAACACAAGAAACGTTTTATTGCTCTTATTGTGCCTGTTTTGTCATCATTTCGCATTTTCGACTCGAGAATGTGAAAATGCAAAAATACAAAGATGCGACAAGGTCAAACTTTGCCATAAATATTTTTGTGGTGTCGCATTTTCGCAAAGAAAAAGCGAAAATATGGCATAGCGTAAACCAGTCACAATAATTATGATGTAAATTTTAGAATAATGTAATAAACTTGTGTTTTACACCCTGTTAGGTCCCTGTTCTGTGAATACTTTTTAATATACTTACCTTTATTATGATTCAAAGTATCAAACACATTATATTTATCTGTTTATTTTCTGATTTTATCAAATCCATGACTCACATTGTACTTTCTCCTTCATGTTGTCTGATATTTTATAATGCTTTAGGGACTATTTATATTCTGACTAAGCGTATTAATATCTTCTTTTTGTTTTTCAGTATGCTCCTGGGTATAATCATCATAGGGTTTTGCTGTTGTATACTCACTTCCGGTACACAGGTAATTAACACCTTTATGAAAATATGATCTGAAACAATTTAAAAGTTGAACTTTATGTCCGTCCTATGCCTTTGTTTTAAATTTAGTTCCAGATTCTCCGTTCAAGAAATACGTTTCATCAATTTATGTTTGCGTAATAACATTCTATAGTGCAAAATAGAAAATTGATTTTCTGAAAATATATGGTTAACATAGAACTATGACTAGTGTACCAAAATCTAAAAAAAAAATATTTGTTTATAATTGCATGGCATTATCGTAGCATGTTCCTACTTGTTTTACAGGGTTTTATAAATTTTGAATATGTTTTCTTTAACTACCATCTAAAAGCTTTTTAAGTGGTGTTTATTGTTGTATTCGACAATTAGGGCAAATAGATGTACACTACCTCTTAGTTTGAACAGGGTCTTTCAAATAGAATATTTTATAATATTTCACGATGATATATGTTTAATTTGGTGCATTTTCAAAATGGCGCCGTTTTTCACAAGCAATCTATATTTTTCAACAGATTATGGCTTTAAAAACATTATTTTCTGAAATATTTATATATTTTTCTGAAGTTTAAAGTTTTTTAAAGAACATCATGTTGTTAGAACTTTCATTTTTACTCTTGTATTTAATTTTCATCCTTTTCTTGAACACTTGCATAATTTGCATATAGCAAACTATACCGAGTTATACCGTTGTACAAAGCGAGTAGGGTTTCCAGACCATTCTATTTGAAAGACCCTGCATGGTTTGAAAAAAAAAAAGAATCTGTAAGACAGCTATTTTTAACATTTTTAAGTCGCTGATAGTATTGATTTACGTTTGTATATTACATTTTTTCATTACTTTTGCTTTAAAAGGACATTGAATATATATATTATATTCTAATTCGAAATAAGATTTTTAAATCAAAGTTTCGTATTTACAAATATGCCAAATAGATCATTATCTAGATTTTGATTATTTTACAATCATAAAAGATCGGCTCTTTCCGTATACTTCGGATAACATGTCTCGTACGAGTACGTGGAACCCGAATTCTCCACTGCAATTCGCACGGGTTATAAGGCAGCGTTCGTTTTTGCGGGAAAGTAACACACTTTGTCTTTATCTGATTTAGAAGGGGAATTGACTATTGTCAGTTTTAAATTATCGGTTTTCTTTCTCCCACTGTATGAAAGAAATATATCTCTATTACTTTTGCCACAAAGGTGACACATGGAGGCCGCCATTTTACCATGTTCCAATATGTGTTGCATTAATTATAATGTCAGAGACCTATTGCGAAGCATAATATCCGAGGATTTCATATGATGGTGTGCCGTTTTTTGGTATTTTCATAGCATAGTTTTCTATTCGTAGAACTTACTGATTTGGATTTCAACATTTTATATATGTGATAGAATAGGCCTTCATTTTTTCTTCTTTTTTTTCCAACAGTAGGCTTCAAAATGTTTATTGATCATTTTAGAACAAATGGCACATTTATTTTGAACAACATCAGTTGACCCGGAGCAACACACAATATTTCATTAAATAAAATCTTATGGCTAAAAATATATTCATAAAGTGACACATGATCCCTTTTCAAGAAAGGTCCACATCTCTATGGTCTTGCTAGATTTTATTAGTGTACATATCGAGTGGTTTTTATTGTACTAGATATGCTCAACAATACCTTATAACATGTTGTATTTCGGTAAATGCAAAAATACCCGTGTTGTTCGTCGGTAACAGTAAATATCGTAACTCATGAAACACTTGGCAAAAAACATTCAATTTGTATTTGAATTGCGAATATTTATTTTTTTCTGATTTATTCAATAAATTATTTTCTCTTGAAAAACGTGTTTGCTCATCTTTAGGCGTGCAGCTTGATATTTTGTTGAAGGGTTGACCCACACGTTCACAAACCATTAGAAACGTGCCTGCCATTGACAAAATAGATAAACATTCCAAATTTATGCACAAAATTATAAACGATTTGCAGCATTCATGATTTGTATGGGCTAATTGTTGAATGTAAAACTTGAATCGTTACAAATCAGAAAGTGTGTGAAATAATATCATGCTTTAAGCTTTTCTTTAACATTTTTTTCCGAACACCACACCACCTCTTTTGAAACATGCATCTCTGTAATCAGCAGATATGTACAGCATTCAATCTTCTTCAGTGTCAGTTGACATGTAAACAATATAACATTTTGAAAATACATTCAGGTCAAAAACTTGAACACCCAATACTCCAGCTTCTGCGAAATTTAATCCAGCGTTCAATGTCCCGCTGTTTTGCTTAACGAGTCGTAAAATTTAAGATGACAACATGAAATGCGTCTGTAGGCGGGTCAGGCTAGTCACTTGATTGTGGTTAATTCAGCAACAAATTTGTCTAAGTGATTACTCCAATTTTTAAAACCCAGCACTTAAGCGTCCTTTTATACCATAAGCCTTGAGCTTCCGGAAACTTTAAACAACTAAAACATTCCAAAGAGTGAGCGTAATTATTTAACATGTGTTTCAAGCAATGAGGAGGAAATTTTTTGTCTAATTGTTTATCTATACGAAATTCAAATTCGTGAATCAGAGGAGTTTTTTTTTTTGCTTCTTAAAAATTGAAAATTCCTTACAAATGAAAGCCATGATCGTATCAAATGTAATAAATTAACTCTATAAAGATGAAAGACTGGTTTAGGTACAGGAACTATTTGACGTCTGTCGAAACAGCTGTGTTTACAAGCTAAAAAATATCGTATATTGACTCTAAAAATAATCATAAAGTTTTTTGCACTGGAAACGAGTGGCTTATAAGAAGTGTTCTCATACTTTCGTAAGAGGAAAAATGAAACCTGACAAGAAATTCGTGAAATGATGTAACACAATATATGTATTTTCTCTGATTTCTAGTTGTCAAATTATTACAATTTCACAGCCGCAAATTCTGCAATATAATTATGCAGAATTACAAATTGTTCTTCATAGTGCATCTACAAAATAATCGCAAAGTCTAAATAATTCGGAAATGCCGAGCAATATGTTTTTGACACTTCATTGTTTATAAAAGGTCCATACACCTTTTTGTATGAGTCAAAACTGTGACTGATGAAACCAAAAGAAGAGTATTTAATGGGACCTTGTTATGTGTGTACAGTGTACCTTGAATGAGACAAAAAAATCAAAGAGTAGAGCTGATTGATCGACCCAGCATAAGCCCACCACCAGCCTTACTTGTCGGCAATGTCGCCTTGTAGCCTTTAAATATGTTATATATTCTCGGGCGACTCGCTGCACATGACATGTTTGTATCTCGGATACTCAACATTCTAGAAGAAACAGCGTGGTTTATACCACAGCAACATATGTAATGCGGTGGCAAATGGCGGTTTTCTTATGTGTGTGGTTGATGGCTGCCCGTTATATAGATCTATTAGTTAAAATTTCAAAAGTCTTTCAAAATAACGGATTTACATTGAATAATGTAGGAACAAATGTTTAAAAAATCGTCTTCTACTTCTAAAGCTTCGATACTTTGCATGAGGCATTACCTAGTGGGCCTCAAATCATAGCCCCTTAGGTACTCATGTCCTAAAAGACAAATTTTACATACGGACTACTCTTAAGAACTGCAAGGCACAGACCTTTGATAATTTACATGAGTCACTATCTAACGGACCTTTAATTTATTTGTTCAAAGCATGACCCCTGAGGTCAAATTTACCTCACTACAGGAGTATATAGTTTAATATAGAGATATATAAAGAAAATATTTTAAAATTTAACATTCTTTTTCAAAATTGAAAGACGTAGATCTTTGACATTGTTCATAAGTCAGTGTCTTGTGGAGCTTTTCCTCTAATAATTTCTTAAAGTCATGAGTCCCAGGGTCAAATTGGGATTTATAGGTCAAATTGAAGAAAACCATATAACTTAATTATATTTCAGCTTCGTATTTAGTCGAATGGTGATATGCTGAAATATGACATTCACCGTCGAAAAATTAAAGACGCTATATTGCATAATTATGTCTTTGTTTTTTAATACAACAAATAATAAACTACTGCAATTCAGTACAATTTTGTGGTACTACAGCCTTGTTTGTTTGAACGTGCACTGTATAAAACAAGGTAACATGAGACCTAAATTTTTAGCTCGACTTTAATTTTTTTTATGAACAATAGAGGTATTGTTACAGTCATAGCGGTGTTGCAAACGTCATAACTTTTTAACTTCTTGGTGTATTGTCTTTATATTTGGCCACAACAACCCTTTAAGTAAACCACACTAATCTTGACCTTCATTCATAAATGACCACGAACTTCAATGTTAAATGTCTAAATTTTGCTTGATTTTTATTGATTTTTGCTATAAGTGGCTATAACTTTGTGATTTTTGAATCTTAAACTAGGATAGACCTTTAAGTTGACAAGACAGACCTTGGCTTTCACTCATATATGACCTTGACCTTGAAGGTCAAATTATTTTCTTTATTTTTTCTTGTAACTGGCTATGACTTTGTTATTTATGAATGTATTAACTTCATATTAAAACACAACATCTTTTAGGTCATGTATATGAAACTCAAAGTGAGTGGACTCATGTGTGGTATTGACATTGAAGGTCAAATTATTGAATTTTCACTGATTATTGGCTGTAATCTGCTAATTAATTAATGGATTATCTTCATACTTGGACAAAACGACCTTTTGAACTAGACTTTCTGAAAAGTTGAACTGACCTTGACCTTGAGCATAATATGACTTTGACAGTCAAAGTCAACTTTTTGAATGTGGTTGAAATTGTCATAATTGTGTTATTTATCTACGGATTCGATTTATATATGGACAAAACATCACTTGTAACCAAACAAACATGTTGAATGTGTCAGCCATGACCTTGACCTCTAAATGACCTTGACTGTCAAATGATTGAATTCTGCTAATATTTTCTTAACTTATCATTTATTTTTAGAAATGGTTCATACTTGGACAAAACAAGAAGTGTGACTAGACAGACCTATTTAAATTTTAAAAAATAGATCTAGTACTTTTTTTTCTTTAATTTTCTTTTTAAAGATTTGTTTAAACCTTTTATGTGTTTGCTTTTAGAAAAAGTAAAAAAATCGAGCGTTGCCCCCGCTCGGCGTAGGCTATTGTTAAATTTTCAACTGAAATAATTGCAATAAATATTAGTTGGAAAAGCGGGGTATCAAACTTGCGATCCCTTGATTAGTTGTCCACTGTCTAGAAACGCATCTCTTTTCTGTAATCGCAAAGAAATGACAAAAGTTTAATTGTATAAGCTTGCAATATATTATGATACAGTATTCGGAGGTATGAGCTACTAACAATAACAAATATACACTGACTCACTGAACTACTGCATTCGCTCTGAACCGCATATCATCCTAAGTTCATTACGAAACCAATCCGCGTAACATAAAATTATATTTGACAGTCCGTTCATTACTATCAACTTATATTCCAAATATAGACCAGCTAAAAAAACATATACATATTTGGCATTAAGAAATGTGTACATAGAGTTATGTATCAATCATATTTATTTTTTATTGCAATATACATGTAAGCTTAATTATCAGACGTCTCCCAAAGATTGTTATACATTATGTAAACTACGGAGGAAAATACGTTGAGTATATCAATCATGGTTTGTTTACTCTGATTTCCTGATTAACTAATACAGACATGCAAAAATCCCCGTGATTAATTTCTTTATTGATCATGTCTGTATAGATTTTAAGTATACAAATACTTTGATTTAATGATGTTTAAATTCCGCAACGTCTATACCACAGATATGCTGATTGCAATAACCTGCAATCTTGCATTTTATACAACGTGAAAACAGCAGAAAAAAGTAGCCGTAGTATAGTAAAATGATTGACAATCTACGATTAATGTCGTTTTGGAATTTGATATTTGTTTTATTGAAATCTGATTGGATTAATCCCTTTACATTCTGATAAGCCTTTGACATCACGCCCACCAGTATTGCACTGACGTGCAACTCAAAATTGAAGCTTGCTAAATCTATAACACAAATCCACTAGGATAAGGGTTAAAGCATTCTAAAAGAACAAGTTGGCACATAGCGTTTTTTTTCTACCTTTGCCAAGTACACACGCGAAGTTTTATGCAAAATATCTGAAATACAAAACAAACCCATATATTTTACAGTTAACTCCAGACACTTCGAGCACTACAGACAAATCTCGAGGGTTTGGACCATGGTCCCAGTGGTCGGATTGTCCAACATCTTGTGATATTTTACTCACCTCAAGAACACGATCTTGTCAACAATCTAGCAGGTGAGTGATATAGCTGACAAACAGTTTTGATATTTTCATTGCCACAGATCTATTTAAAGAAATGGGAATTAATTTACACAAACTAGAGCTCATCTTTTGATTTGTAATGTTTAATAACTTCTAAAAAATATTGAATATATCTAGTCTACCTCCTTGGTCAAACGATAATGGATGTTATTTTTTATAGTTTGACATTTGCCCGAGATGGTGGCTGAGTAATTCCATAGATGTTTGGGCGGGGAACGAACTGATGTAGAACATACCTTGAGGACAGTTATGTTTTCTATCTTGTGTTGGTTTTACACACACACACACAAAGAAACTTAAATAGTTTATGGCTTGCATGATTAGTATTGGGATTTACGGAAAATGGAACTTATTTGGTTTTACAGGCAAATAGTCATTCGGTTGGGTTGGGGGTCAAACATATTACCCACACCCAATATGTGTATGTCTTTAAGATCTCCCTGAGGCAGTGGCGACGTTTTAGTTCATTTGGAAAAAAAGAATGATAAACTATTTGTTTTCCAGTTCTAACCAGTATCGACAAGATCAAAGAAACTGTATTGGGGTTCGAAAACAATACAAACTTTGCAAAACTACGGTATGTATATCTTTTTGCTTATTGGGTTAATTGGCTCCTAAATGTGTTATCCTCTGCCTATCAATTTTTTAAATAAAAATCGTAACTGTCATGCTTTGGGAATTTTACTTGCATTGTTACAATAGTTTTCATGACATGATTGCAACACGAAACGAATGTACGGTATTATAAATAAATAATTTTTTTTTCATGGAACGATTGTAATGATTGTTTCATGACACTATTGTACGCTATCTTTTCATGAAGCAGTTGTACCATCATTACATGGTTGATTTATGAAACTATTGTACGGTATCATTACATGATTATTTCATGAAAAGATTGCACGATATTTCATTACATGAAACAGTTGTACCATCATTACATGATTGTTTTATGAAACTATTGTACGGTATCATTACATGATTGGTTAATTTTTATGAAACTATTGTACGGTATCATTGCATGAAACAGTTGTACCATCATTACATGTTTGTTTTATGAAAGGATTGTACAGTAGTATAATTACATGATTGTTTTATGAAACTATTGTACGGTATCATTGCATGATTGATTAATTTTTATGAAACTATTGTACGGTATCATTGCATGAAACTGTTGTATCATTACAGAATTGTTTTATGAAAGGATTGTACAGTAGTATAATTAGTTTATTAATTACATGATTGTTTTGTGAAATTATATTAAATGATACGATTGATATAAAAACAAGGATTTTAACCATTTTACTTCTTGTATTTTACTTGATTATTTAGTTATTATTATTCCTTTCCATAAAATTATATAAAAATGCATTAGTGCTGTAATTATAATTTCATTTTTGCAAATTCTGATCAGTTTTAAAGTAAGCCTTTCTTTGATAATATATGCTGATTAGTACAGCTCACCTGTTGACAAGTGAAAAAAATGAAAACTTTAGATAAAAATATATGTTCAATTGCCTTTAAAAGGCAACGTTGCATTGGAATATTGATTGAGTGGGTTATAAGTGTATATTTTAATTTAGCTGAATGCAAATATACTAAATCATTACAGCCCCGTGTGACATATGATATGTTTCAAACAATTCTTTATGATTAGTATCTGAATAGATATAAAAATGAATAATAAGACGTTCTGTTAAAATTGTCAAAAGCGTTCAATGTACTGAGAAGATAACGATGGGTATCCAAAAGATCCGTTAAAATTATGTCACTCCAATGAATATGAATTAAATCGAGCGAAAATTTATATACCTATTTAGCATGCATGATACGGCATGCCTCTGCTCAAAAAAGGGGGAAAAGAAGATACATATTGCGTACATATACAGCTTTAGAAAATTAGTGTAAAATATAGCACATGTATTTTCTAAGTAGACAACTGTTCAGAATTAAATCTTAGGCTTATAGTGTTTGAGCCTAATTAATTTGACCTATTTTTACAAACTTTTTTTCCTACTGTCAAACCGTTAAAACCGTTGGAAAAAGACATCGCCCGTCCAAAATTATCTCGATGTCTCTTTGACAAGTCTAATTACTTGGACTATTATTGTTTTTAAACATAATTCCGATGTAAAGTATTTTGCAATCATTGATTCTAATTTAAACAATACCTTTGCCAAGACGGAAGGAATCCGGCCTATTATCATAACATTTTGCTGTGGTTTGTTTTTGTCGAATATTTCTAACTCGCGGTGCGGGTTTAGTGGCTATGTACACTCCATTTTACTAGTGTTTTGCAAGGCATTAACCGAATATGTTCCTTTGGTGTGCATCGTGGTTATAATTGCAGTTAAAATCAATATTTAATTCCTCGAATGTTTAGCATGTGTGTTTGCAAACCCTTTCATATGGTGATTTAATTGTTTATTTGGGTTCTTTGTCTTACCAGGCATGTACCGAATTTCGTGACAACCACAGAAAAGCAGAATGTGACAGACAGACACACGTGCCATTTCGCGGCAGATATTATCACTGGCAACCTTATAATAATAGTAAGTATATTATGTACTGTTTATGCACGGGGATACACATTGCGTTTTACTATTCTCTGTCGGGTCGCGATAGCCTGAGTTACTCCCCTTGGTTTAAATACGGCATTTACTACCTGAGCTAGTCTCCTTGTCCGCTAAATTGTTTAATATTTATTTTGATTCAGAAAAAATGCATTTTGACTTAGAAATTGAATTTACAGTCAAACTATTGTTTTAATTAACATGTATTTAAGAGACGAATTTCGTGCATGATATGAAGATAGAAAGATTTACAAAGTTATTCCCCTTAATCTGTCATACGCCGCTTTCATTTCATTTGAGCAAACGACACGTTTCAACACGGCTTTACTGTATTGTACATTTAAAGCCCTTGATCACATTTAAAATCCTGATTTTATATAATGAAAATGTTGTTCTGTTTTTCTGAGACATATTAGTACAGAAAACTGACATATTTTTGTTGAAAATGTTATTTTATTAGTCAACATTAACTAGATGTATCAGGTAACAGTGTAACAGCCACATGGCAATAAACAAACTGTTTAAATCTGAAGTTGCGGTAATAACAATATTTGAATACATTTATATTGTATCAAAAGAAAATTAATTTTTTACCGCTTTAAATGATAGTGTGCTATAAATGATAGTGTGCTAGTTTGAAACCTTAGCGGGCTATCTCGCATTTTCACAGGTATTAAATAAATGGGAAAATCACTGAGATTATTCAATTTGAAGAAAATTGTTCATCATGCAAGAAATTCATACTGGTCAATTGGTCATAGACTAGTCAAAGATATCATATGCTCAAATTTGACATTAAAAGAATTTATTGACAGTTGCTACACAGTCTCTTGGTAAATAGAAAATAATATACAGGTTTTTGAGTGCATACAAAGTAGAGTGTTTTGTTTAAAATCATACTCCAGTACAGATGGTCACAATTTAAATATACTGTATAGTGTCATTCAAAAAACTTGCAGTTTTTTTAAGGAAAGACCAACTTAACGCGAGATAAAAATCATAAAGTAGGGAACGCAGGTTCCCATACATAGTTTATCGATCTTTTATTCAGATTAGACATATTCAGTAAAACTTTCAAATATTTCAATAAATTTCTTGATTGAAATATATTTTGCTGGAAGATGAGCATAGATCTAGTCTATATATTTAACATATTCTTATATCTAGCAAAAGCTACATTCGGAAATATTTTTTTCTGGCTAAAAATCTTTCAGAGGGGAGATAATTTGCCAATACAAAAAAAAGCACAATATCTTGAAGCAAAGTACCATTAGTTGGACTTTTCAGGCACCAACCAAATCAGAAGACCATCAAAGCTGGACAACCCAGTGAACTCTTGCTTTATTTGTTGTTGTCAAAATTTCAGTCTTAAAATTGGGAAATCTGTATGGAAAAAAGTTAAAAATTGTCTTGTTGATGGTCCCTGGAAGTATTTTGTTTTCAGTCAAAAGTGTTTCAATGTGATCTGCTTTTATACATTGTAATAAATTAAGCAGCTAACACTCTATTCTATGAATCCAGTCATGACTATTCTTTGTTTGTTATATCAATGTCTTATTCTTCAGAGTTGAAGCCTTGTGAAGTGTACTGTAAAGCAGGAGGTTATGGGTTCTATTCTGGTTTCGGGCGACTATTGAAGGATGGAGTATCGTGTTCTGGTACAGGAGTCAGTGGAATTTGCCTGCATGGTAGATGTCAGGTAAGTTTCTTATAGATTATAGTAAATACATAATTGAGCCGCGTCATGACAAAACCAACATAATGGGTTTGCGACCAGCATGGATCCAGACCAGCCTGCGCTTCCGCCTTCCATGCTGTTCGCTATCAGTTTCTCTACTTGTAATAGGGTTTGTAAGCGAACAGCATAGATCCTGATCAGACTGCGCGGATCCATGCTGGTCGCAAACGCATTACGTTGGTTTTGTCATGACGCGGCTCATATGTTTTAATTGAATGCTTTTCATGAACTACAATGCATACTTGCCATTATTTCTGGCCTTTTGTCTAGGATCACTTAATTTCATTGTGTGCAGGGTGGTTAGAGGTACAAACATGGAGGGTAGGGGTGTTTTAGTTCAGGCAGTAACATCTGTATTACCGTAATGTTTATAACTTGGTATCAAGATGTTAAGACTACAAGAGCTGATATATAATATGTTTATAATTTGTGAATGAAAAAGACTTGCACTGTTCTTGGATGAATGTTCAAATTCTGACAAAGATTGAAAAGATATAAAAATGAAATGCAGATTTGTTGTTTTAAGAAATGAATGCTGTAATGTCCGAATATTATTGTCAAGAATGCAGCCATAGTTAATGCTGGCATGAAAAGATACCTTAGCTGACATATAAGTTTTAGTTTGATTGAAAAACCATTAAGTCATCAAATAGAAACAGGTTAAAACTTTGCCAATATTTGTAAGTAAAGGTTAAAGACTTTGGTTTATTTCAGAAGGTTGATAAAACTTGGTGTGAATTATCAATCAACTATTTAACTTTTTTAGAATTCTTTCGTAATATTTCTTTAATGGCAAAATGCTTTATTGTGGGAATTTTACAGAATTTACGAAGAAAATAAAATATAAAGAGAAAACCATTCTAACCCTGTGAATAATGTGCATGAAAACTGTAGAATAAAAACTGACTTTGATGTTGTTTTAATTTGTGAGAAATTTTCTTTGATAATCAGTTTTTATAGGCATGTCTGCTAGATGTCATGTAAGTAGCAGTAAGCAAGACACAACAGGTTGAAATTTTGTCTGTAGATATAATTATCCCCTTGTCACTTTGATAAATGGAATGGGACAAAGATGAAAGCTATTCCTATGGTAGGGTCGTTTAGAAATTTTGTATATTTGTCTTGTTATTATTCATGTTTATATATTGGTTTAATTTTTTGATACATTTTTAATTTCAAGGGGTCATTGGTTAAGTAACTTAAGGAAACACCTTACATTCCATATTCATTTATCTACATGCTGAACATAAATGTTATTTTTCTATATTACTTTAGCTCTTTCCATTGATTTTAGCAGATGCCTAATTAACATTGTACAATCTAAAGATTGCTTTATTAATAATTATTGGTACTCAATTCAGAAATGCTCAACTTTGATCAGAATCAGATAGTACAGTTTCATTAATTATCCTTTTTAAAACATTCACTGTTTTTTGTTGTTGGCGAAAATGTATTAGAGAGAAAACCTTTGTTCTTTTAAGATTACTAATATGTGTCTGTAAAAGTGAACTGTATTTATATGTTTTATCAAAGAATAAAACAAGTACAAATTGTTGTATGTATCAATATAGGTTACAGGAAGAGACAAAAATATCTTAACATCAGCATATGTAAATATTGGTGTGAAATGTCTTAAGAAATTTTCACAGTTTCCTCCCTTCCGCAGTAGATGCATAATTATTACCAATTAGAATTTCTGTTAGGTAAGAGCAATACACATGCTACACCGATGTTATAAATCAGGCTGCATTTTTCTGTGTGTCACAAATTTAGATGGTATGCTGAATAGAAACTTTTGTATGTTGTATATTCAAATATAATAGTTATAATGAAAATTAATTTTAATGCAAATATATCCCATAAAGTATTGACTGTATTCTTAATTCACAGTCATATCTCACAGTTAAGCACATCATGTTTTACTTGTCATGATTCTACATCAAAGGAAACTGTGTCAGACACTGACTATTTTACATTATTAATGTGCATATTATGCAATGATTAACTCTCCATTTAAGATGAAAGTTTTACTAATTGATGTAGTAAATGTTGTAAATGTGAAGTATTTTGTTAATGTGAAAAAGATTTATGGTACATCAATCATAAATATCATATTTACTGATAGGCCCTCTTTACGTTTGATACTGATGTAAAATCATTATATTTTTGTGAGGAATATATTAATGGTCAAGATCACAGTGGCATTAATGTGTTACATCATGTTCCAGTCAATAGTGTAAAAAGGTTGTGAAACTTAGTTGGGACATAGCATTTATTTCGAGAATGTTAAGGTCACAGTGACACATAGTGTAATTTTTCTCCAATCAATAACTTGAGAATTAATATTAATAAACTGAATAGGGACATTGCCCATGGCCAGTTACTAACCCTTACTGAGTCTCAGGTCAAAAATAGACCAAAAGTCAATGGTATAATGACTCTGTGTATATAGCATCTTTAGAGATCAAATACTTACAAAATATTAAACCTATGTTTTTTAAGCTAATTGGTTGGAATATTGTTATAATTTACATGTATATTACTTATTCATATAAAACTTGACCTTAATGAAATGCGCATAAGTATGTGAATATACCAACGTGATAGTGGCAGAAAGTCAGAGCCTATATTAGTGTCCTTCGGACACTTGTTTATTTTTTTTTCAAAATTAAAACTTTTGGTGCTAATTAAAAACATTCCTTTTTTATTCGTTATTATCTGACATTTATTGCATGAGCATTGCTATTATGAAATGCTTTTAGGTATAAAACTTGAAAAATAATGCCTTTGTACTGTAACAAAAAACTTAAGGTTTAACAGATTAAATTTTTTATACTTAATTTAATGCTATGAAAACAAACATGATTTTACAGTAAATTTTAATCACAATTATCCTTTTTTATTTTTACTGTCAAAACTTCAAAAGGAGCATTTAACACTGTAATGAACTTAGTCAATCTAATTGGTATGCATGTATATCAACATGTAAGGAAAATGTGATAAACTGTACTTAATACAAAGTATTTTAGAAAAACTTGGTTGTAAGATGATCAAAGGAATATTTTATAAATATTTGCAAGCAGCAAAGCTAATGTTATACTAGGAGAATCTTCATGTTAAGACTTTCTAAGTTCCTGTGGCACAAAAGTGACTTGCTTCTGTATGTGCAAGGCCAACCTGCACTAAGGAAAATAGGTTTGAATCCCATTAAGGGATTTGAGTATGAGTTAACACTAGCCAGCTTGCTTTGGCTGAAATGTTTGACTCTCCAAAAGGTTTGAATCCCACTAAGGTATTTGAGTATGAGCCAAGATGTTAGACTCCCAAGAAGGGACATTTAATTAACATTAAATGTCAGGATGTTTTCCAGCTCAAATTCTGAAGTTTGTTGAAGTTTAAGATGCCTCACGTATAAAGGTGCATTTTGAGTGAGTTCCTTTACTTACCAAGCTTGGAAAAATCTGTTGTTAAATGTGATATTGTTTATAATGTGATATTGATGATGGTAAGACTGTCAAAAATAATAAGAGGGTTTTAACCCAAATCAAAGAAATTTAGTCAGCCTTTTATATATACATCCTTACTTCCTACCTCATTAGAGATGAATAAAAAATGATTTTATTATGTTAACAAAATTGGTTATCCCTTTTATAGGTAATGCCATGATTATAAATCTGTGTCACTGAACAGTTTGCCTTTTTCCACAATTCCTGTGTCTTTTGAAGTTTGCCTCATTTTTCTTTATCTTGCCTATTATACTTAATTTAGCATACTTTATAAGGGAAGTAATTAGTAACTGATTAAATAAACATAAATCAATTTTAGATGCAACACTTTAATTTCCAATAAAAAGAATAATTATTTTGCATGTCAATTAAAGTAATAACATATCATTAAAATGTAATATAGACTTAATGTCATCAGGAAATATCAGGACCTGATGGTAAAGGTCAACGGCAGAGGTCAAGATTGTAGCATTAATAAGCTTGAGTTAGCATGTTTTATTGTATATTAAAGATATTCCTTGTGTGTGTAAGTAGTTCATTCATTGCGACTGAATATCATTATGTTATGACAGTACCATAATATATCCTTGATCTTGATTTTGTCTTCAGAGGCCTCAGAGAAGCTTGATTTGTGGAAAGTGGTTGCATGATTTACTTCCCATGATTACTCTTTGTAATTTCAAATTGGAGCTCCCAGTTCATTGTTTGGTGATGTGTTAATGACTTTGATATCAAATTGTTATGGGATTATTATAATACACTGATATAAAAGGCTGGCCTGGCTCAAGGTTTTTATTCAATGGAATACTGGAAACTTCTTCTCAACCATATATAAAATGCTGAAATATGTAACTTATTGCATGCCAGTTACCAATTTGCAAGTTTGACACCAGCATTTATTGCCTGTTCAAAACAGACACTTAGTTTACAAAAATTATGTAACTTAACTATTTGTTACCTTATATCAAGTTTATTTTGGAGAGAATTGATAATATTATTTAAGAAAAACATAGCCCATATGTATACACTGACTATTCAGAAATTTAATAGAGCAAAAAAGTATGTAAAATAGCTAGCTAATCAATAGGCAAAAAAACTGCTATTTTTTCCAGGCCTTGATAATAAAATATTACAAAAAGAAAAGTCATTGAACAGGAAAAGAAAAAAAGGTGCAAATTATTCAAAAATAGTGCAATCTCAATTATTTTGACAGTGCTATATTAAAAAGAAATATATTTATTTATATACTGCAAAGACATTAGTGACTTTTAATGAATGTAACATGTCAATTTTTAAAGCAGCATGCCTCCAGATTCATGCCAATTTTGTTATGAAAATTTTTGAAAATGTATTTAAAGTAAAATATAGTGAACAAAGAAAAGTAACTAACATTTAATTACAAATGCCGGGCTTATACTATCCATATAAATTACAAAAAAAGAGGTCAAAATATGC